CCTGGCGCGATATGGTTCATGGGGTCACGAAGAGTCGGACACGACTTAACGACTGAACAACGAACAAAGACATCCCAGAGTAATCCAGGATCAGTACTGTTGCCAAAAGAACTCCACAAACCTATCAGTGAAATCACCACAAATTCTGTTTCCAAATGGGTTGGAAGAGCCTTCCGCTGACCTGTGCTGGGAAAATACATATTGCAACTTCTCTGAGTTTTAGCACGTTGGCAAAGAGGCCCTGCATTACTTTTTGTGAACTGTGAGTGGAGCCAGAAAGCAGTGTTTCTGTATTTGGAAGGGAGTAGTTTTGAATTCATGGGTATGTATTTGTACATAGTATGACTTTCTCTTTGTAGTTAGCTACTGTGTTAATTGGAATAAATCCATTTGTTTGGCCTTATGCAGGAATGTGCAGGTCAGAGGAAGGAAAAGAGCTGCCCGGCCATTCAGATCCGATCTCTACCATTGTGAAAATAGGACTCAGGAAAATATACTCGTGGTAGGAAGCCAGATGGACAAAGATAAGTTTCCTGCCTAACCTCTGGCTGAAATAGCGATGTTTTGTCCAAGTTTGGAGGTCATCATGATGCCTCTGTTCGGTCAAGAGGCAGTAAAGCCTGTCAGGCAGGTAGCTGAAAGGAGCCGCATCTTTCTTAGTCGAAATCCAGGCTGCGTGGAGCAGACTTTGCAGAAGAGCATTTGAGATGCCTGCATGTTCCACCCCTCCCTTAGCTTCAGCGCTGACATCAAACTGATCAAGTGCCTCCATTTTCACCCTTTCCTTAAACCCTGTTTTTGTTTCTTGGATGAAAGGTTTGCTATTTTTTAAAAAACCTCTTTAAAGATAAATAAAAATGTTTTATCCCAGGCTGAACCCTGTGGTTTGAGGAAGTATCTGTCTTCACTCTTCCAAGACAAATTATTCCCCCCCAAAAGCCTAAGGTGCCCTCAAATCAAAAAGGATATTGAATTTCTGGTTTGCCACTGTGTTCTTTCAGGATTATTTCCCCCCCCCAACTTCCTAGTCTTCCATCCAAGTACTAAACAAAGTCACCTCACCCCTATTTAGCCAGCATAGTCCACTCATCTTAAACCGGCTAAGGTTGAGAAAAACTGTTATAGAGATATTCCCTGGACCAACATTCTTCATTAATTGTGGCCAATAAGTTACGCTAAGTATTGGCCTCATCAGGTCATCCTGTCTGAAGTGTATTTAACTTTGCCACAGGCCAATTTGGATTTTACTGCCACTTTTCCTAATTCCAGGGCGGGTGGGCTGGTTCTTCAACCTAAAAGAGTTTTGTAAGCCCCCCCAGAGCCTGTAAGCCTCCAAGAGTCTGTAAGACTTAATGAAGATCGATTAATGATTAATAATCAATTAATAAGACTTAATCTTACAAGACTTAGTCCTCTAAGACTCCAAGGGTCTGCGCCCGGGGGCGAATCCAGGCAGGCCGCTAACCCTCATTTAGACCGAAGTGAAGTCGGGTGTTTTTGCTGCCCGCCCCCGGCCCTTAACTCTCTCTGCACGGCAACCCCTCCTGGCTTCTCACAC